TGCTTGTGCACAGCGTGCTTGGAGCATGGCCTCGTATGTGCCGGATGTGTTTTACTGCGTCTGATATCCAAGCCTCTTTCGGAACTCGCTCCGCTTGAACGTGAGTCGGACATTGAGGACATCTATCCGTTATGATGGGGTCGGCGTTGGGCTCTTACAGCTTTTCACGTTTGACTGTTTTCTCCAGAAAACATCTAGTGAAAAGAATAGTTCCAGCTACACAGCTTTTATTGATATCCGACATTCTCTGGCCAAAAACCGGCCTAGAACGTGTCAAAGACAGATTTGCCTTGAAAGCAGCAACGTACTGAAATGTTCGCAAACATCCTTTTAAAGCGTGTTCAGAGGTCAGTTTCCCATGCTCGCGAGAAAACCACGGCATGCAGTGGCGCCGGACCTGCCCTCTGCACGTGCACGTGCGCGTGTCCGTGTGGCAGCGGCCGATGTCGTTGGTCCGCGGCTGCGGTGGCAGCCCGGCAGGGGGCCGCTCTCCGCGCTGGGGGCGGCCGGCCGCCAGCGGACGCGCCACGCGAGGTGCGTGAGCCCGAACCAGCCGCGGGGAGGGGCGGCCGACCTCGTTATCGACCCCGCCAGCGGCCGTCGCCGCAGCCGGCCGCCGCATCGATTATCCACGCGCCGTTGCAGCCGGGCCTGATTCGCCCCGCTGGTGCGGGCCATGTGCAGGGCCACGGCCCCTGCTCGCTGGTCAGACTCTGGTCCCCGTCTGCTGGTCAGACTCTGGTCCCTGTCTGCTGGTCAGACTCTGGTCCCTGTCTGCTGGTCAGACTCTGGTCCCTGTCTGCTGGTCAGACTCTGGTCCCTGTCTGCTGGTCAGACTCTGGTCCCCGTCTGCTGGTCAGACTCTGGTCCCTGTCTGCTGGTCAGACTCTGGTCCCTGTCTGCTGGTCAGACTCTGGTCCCTGTCTGCTGGTCAGACTCTGGTCCCTGTCTGCTGGTCAGACTCTGGTCCCTGTCTGCTGGTCAGACTCTGGTCCTCGTCTGCTGGTCGGGCTCTGGTCCCTGTCTGCTGGTCAGACTGTGGTCCCCGTCTGCTGGTCAGACTCTGGTCCCTGTCTGCTGGTCAGACTCTGGTCCCTGTCTGCTGGTCAGGCTCTGGTCCCTGTCTGCTGGTGCGACCTCCTGTCCCCGTCTGCTGGTGCGGGCTCCTGCCCCCGTCTGCTGGTGCGAGCTCCCGTCCCCCGTCTGCCGGTAGGAGCTCCTGCCTCTGTCTGCTGTAGCGGGCTCCTGTCCCTGTCCGCTGGTGCGGGCTCCTGCCCCTGTCTGTCGGTGCGGGCTCCTGCCCTGTCTGCTGGTGCGGGCTCCTACCCCCGTCTGCCGGTGCGGGCGCCTGTCCTGTTTGCTGGTGCAAGTTCCTGTCCATGTCTGCTAGTGCGGGCTCCTGCCCCTGTCTGCCAGTGCGGGCTCCTGCCGGCCGTAAGGGGAGCTCCGTGCACCAGGGGCGGCTGGTGGTGCGCGCCGGCGGTGCGCGGACGAGATGGTGGCCCGTCCGCTCTGTCGTGCAGGCGCCGACCATGACAGCCCCCGGGCCGGTCGTGATGCTGGTGTTGACCTTCGCCACGTGCGGCCCGCTTATTGGCGTCCGTGGAATTGTGGCTGGCGCCCCCTTCCCCCATCCCTACGTGCGGAACGCCACTCAGCTGGACAGCCGACGTGACCACTTCCCCCAACGCCCTACCTCCACCCGCTCGCGAGCTGCCGAGCGAGCGCGAGGCTCAGGAGGTCATTATTGTGACACGCAGATGTCGCTGGCGTCTCTGCACTCATAGAGGATACAAAAACCGCGATGGGGGTTGGATGCGCATGCTTATTGTGGTTAGCCTCAGAACGGATAGTGGTACCATCGTGAATATCTGTGTTTGCTCACGGGCGCAGAACGACCGCGGCAGTCGAAGCGACCCTGAACCCAAATATCATCACCATCTGATTTAGTTGCTCAAGCCGGTGTTACTCGGAAGTCTGCGGGTGCATTGGATCGCACCGTGTACCTCTGTCTACAATTTTTGCGGCTCGCTCGTCCTGTACGCATTGAGAGCATCCGCAACCCAGCCACCCCGGTTCAGCTGATGGTGAGAAAGCTCGCGGGCTGCAGTCCAGAAACTCACCACTCTTTTCTCCACAAAACGTACTGCAGTTTTCCTGCCTGGCCGAGACCTAGTTCTATGAAAGGAAAATAGGAATCTTCACACTTTTGATTGGCGTTGAATGGGCTTTGACGTCGTGCGACACGTTTCCTGTTTCCGGCGCGTCTGCTTGCAGGACGCAATGCAGAGTTCGTAGTTTCGCGTGATGAGACTAGGTCGGGGTGAAGACCACCATCGGGTGGAGCCCAGTGCAGGCGTTTTGCGCGATTGTTCGATGTTCCTGGTTGCCAGGGGATGGGAGCGAAGTTGATCAACATTGGACGTTAATTTTGAGGTGCCAACGTTGGGGGCTGGTGGGGAGGGCGTAATTCAGCTGCGGACAGGAGGCCTCCGCGCTTGGCGGGTGACAGCGTGATGATTATGGTGATGGTGACGATGATGAGGATTGGGGCGTTCGGGCATAACGGCCGCTGCGGCCTTTTGGGCCCATTACAGCGTTAACTGCCTACCGAGTTGTGTGAATGGTCGAAAATCTTTGTGTGCTAAAGGTGAAACAGCTGACCGTTGGAATGCTGACGAGACGTGTTCTCGATGGTGTGAAGATAGGTGAGACATGGCGAATCCCGTGCAGAATGAAGAAACCGCTCTTAGGTGAGGTATGGACATGAGTGGGAGTGTATAACATGTCCAGTGGTGAGGGGCTCGTCGCAATGAGGACAAGTCAGACCATTTCCGCCATATAAGTACCCATGCACCAGTACACGAGTGTTATCCTACGGAGGAAAAACAGTAAGAGCGAAAGGTCTTCTAACGTTGCACATTGCAACTGAGGGTGTCGCTAGGTATAGCGAAGTTTGCTGTGCTCCCAAAGCACGTAACAAATATTGTGGTGAGACGAAATCACGTTTACAGACGCGAAGAATACTATTAATATTTTAGCATGCTGTGGTCAGCTGCAAGCATGCGTGTAGCCGTCTCATTTCTTGCGAGTCCGGAGCAGCCGGCGTTCGAAAGCAGTTTCTGCTCCGCTGCACAACTTGTCCTCCGACAGCACCGTGACGTGTCCCTGTGGGCATTGTCACACCTCGCTGCTACATCGTGACGTGTCCCCTGTGGGCTTTGTCACATCTCGCTGCTACATCGCGACGTGTCCCTGTGGGCTTTGTCACACCTCGCTGCTACATCGTGACGTGTCCTGCGTGGACTTCGTCACACGACGCCGCTACATCGTGCCGTGTCCTGCGTGGGCTTTGTCACATCTCGCTGCTGCATCGTGACGTGTCCCCTGTGGGCTTTGTCACATCTCGCTGCTGCATCGTGACGTGTCCTGCGTGTGCTCTTCCACACCTTTCTCACACTGTGCCGGGACTGGTGCCATGCACGAGCCTGAGCTGGGCACTCTGCCGGGACTGGTGCCACACATGAGCCTGAGCTGGGCACTCTGCCGGGACTGGTGCCATACACGAGCCTGAGCTGGGCATTCTGCCGGGACTGGTGCCACACATGAGCCTGAGCTGGGCACTCTGCCGGGACTGGTGCCACACATGAGCCTGAGCTGGGCACTCTGTCGGGACTGGTGCCACACATGAGCCTGAGCTGGGCACTCTGCCGGGACTGGTGCCACACATGAGCCTGAGCTGGGCACTCTGCCGGGACTGGTGCCACACATGAGCCTGAGCTGGGCACTCTGCCGGGACTGGTGCCACACATGAGCCTGAGCTGGGCACTCTGCCGGGACTGGTGCCACACATGAGCCTGAGCTGGGCACTCTGCCGGGACTGGTGCCACTCACGAGCCTGAGCTGGGCACTCTGCCGGGACTGGTGCCACACACGAGCCTGAGCTGGGCACTCTGCCGGGACTGGTGTTGTCATAAGCCTGGTCGGTCAGGTCGCGTCGCAGGGATGCGGCCAATCGGATGAAGCTTTGGTGTGACGTCAGACCCTGCGCCATCATGATCTCTACGCAGGCGCGCCGAAAGGCCGCATTACGGAAAAGAAAGAGAAAAGCAGAAAATCAGCAGAAAAATAAGTGGTATCATCAGAAAAGATCCGCATTTGGCGGTTGGATTTAGCCGACGCCTGCCAAAAATGACGACCGGCAAAAATGAAAAAAATGACATTCTGGGTTGATTTCGTGACTGTGAGCTAAACATGTAACGGGGGATGAGAGACGTTGTTGTCACTAGGGGACGCAATCGTCTTGTCCTATTATCGTATTATTTAGAGCAGAATCGATCTCGTAGGTGATTTTGTAACCCGGTCGGTATGCATGGCCGCATGGTCGTGGGTGATTATCCCTGCCAGGCCGTCCTGCCGGTGGTGCGGCCGAGGGCTCCCCACCGCGGCTGGTCTGCGACAGACGGGGCGAGGCCGGCCCGTCGCCAGGTCTGGCGGACCGCTGGCCGTTCCTTCCGGGTCGCACGCACGACCGAGACGTGCCGTCGGGGTGCGGAGCAGCCACCGATGCTGGCCATGCAGCGCGGCTTCTCTGTGTGTGGGTGTGGGGGGAGGTGCTGAGTCCCGAACCCCGGACGCCGGGCCCCGATGGTGGCTACGAGCTTCGGGCCGCCGGTGTGCTCGCGTCACTGGTTCCCGTCTCCACCACTGCGGGCTCACTTGTAAACTGTGATCTTACAGACTGTCGCATTCTCTGGTGTTTGTTTTCAGGTGCTAGGGTTATGCGCTGCTGTCCTGCGGAGCAGCCCTTGTTGGGTTCCGATGCGTTCGGCCTCATGACGTCTTGCCGTCATGCTGCGTTTCTTCCTGGTTTATTTCGACGTTTGTCAACTTGATCGTTGATATAGATTCGCAGAGGTTTGGAAGTGCTCACTGCATCACCGATGTGTGCATCGCCCTCAGCTTGCGGCGTTTGAGTCACGTGCTCTGCTGTGTTGCAGGTGTGAAGACCATCTATGAGTACCATCGGATTGATATGAAGGACTTCCTCATCAGCAACAACACGGCCGTGGTGTTTCACGCCCAGCCCACCTGCGTCTTCCTGACGACCTGCGAGAGCTGCCTCAATCACCCCACCATTAAGTTTGACGTGAGTCACGGCAGGTGGCAGCACAGGGCTCGGTCGGCCCCGCCCCAGGGCGAGTCCGTTAGCTGAGACGCTAGGGTGTACGGACGGGGACAGAAAAAACGGAAGATATGCTCGTTCAGAGCACAATTGATGTTGAAGTGGAATGCACTCAGAGATTAAAACTCATCGCCCAAATTTTGCGTGGTCATATCCCGCCAAATGTTCAAGTACTGCATGCGTTAATAATGTGATCCGACTGCTTCCAGCCTGTTCTTGATGCATTTAAATGAGCTGCTGAAACAAAATACAAATTGCGTCACTGGTTAATGTCGCCCTTTTAGAACTATTCACGACAAAAGAACACCTGTATCCACGATATTAATTTTAATATGACTGACAGATAGAACAAGTCGGATTTTGTACCATAGGCGTAAGTGGCGAGATTCATAAGCGATGTATTTGTATCTGCGCCGTGTGAGCGGGGCGTACGTCGCAACACTGACTCAGCGTACGCATCACCGAGTCCTGCCATGCCGAGGGAGTCGCTGTTGGTGCGCTGACGACACGGGCGTTCGCTCCGCTGCGGCGCCGGCCCAGCTGACCCTGCCCCTGCCGCGGCCGGCAGTGCGGCTGGTGCGGCACCACCCAGCGCTGCTCGGACGGCCTGGACCGCAACCGGCAGCTGTGGCTGCAGGCCCGCTGCGAGGACAGCTACGTGCGCGACGTGGAGCAGTGCGGCTCGCCGGCGGCCACGGCGCCGCCGCGGGCGCCCACGCCGGCCGAGCCGAGCTCGAGCCGCGCGCCCGACACGGCCGCCGACGCGGCCCGCTCGGCCGCCGCCTCGGCCCCCGCCGGCGGCACGCACGGTACGGAGGCGGCGGACGGCAGCCAGCGGCCGCCCGTCGGCGCCGCACGCACAGCCGTGTGGCGCACGTGGCGCTGCTGAGCGCTGGCGGGGAGGGTGGGACATTGTTGTGATTGAGATTTTGTTGTAAGTTGTGTGCCACCCAGTTTGTGCGTGCTTCTTCAGAATCGCATGATTCGAGCCTCAGGGTGGTTGGATGGCGTTCAAGGGCTGCAGTGCTAGCAGCTTTGGCTCCGGGGATTAGTCACGAACATTCTCCCGAACTCACGACGGGCTATATTTTAGTCAGGAAACATTGTAAACGCCTGACATCAAACAAGCGGGGCTTGCAATTGTCCGATGGATACGCTCTTGATATGGCAATTTTCCATTGATTTCATCTTTTTACGAATTGACCCCTTACCTTGAGGAGGCTTGGGGCGTGTTCATACCCCACCGTGAGGTCCAGCTGTTTCAGCCCCGCGTGCGCCGCCCGAGAGATGAGAGATCATCGCAGGCAGCACGGCCACGCGCGGGGTGAGCGAGGGCCTGGTGTGACCGGGAGCCGGCTGCCGGCAGGTGGGGGCCTGTCGTCGTCGGCGGCTGCGACCATTATCGTGTTCATCGTGCTGGTGGTGGCGCTCGCCGGCTGGGTTCTGTACGCGTACCTGTTCCCGCACTCCACCTCCGGACAGATCCTCATCAGGGTGAGTGAGCACGTGACAGCGACAGCAATACGTGTATTTCCTTAACACAATGCACGATGTGACGAAGTGGTGCAAAAAGGGGCTCGCTTAGAACCAGGCGCCTCTCTGCGCTGGTAAATTAAACGTGAAGGCTGCCTTTGGGTCTCGAAAGCCTTAAGCTTTGCCCACGCTCACCCGTCCGTGCAGCTACAATCTGGTCAGTCGGAGCGGTGCTGTAGCATTTGCTCGGTTACATACATGCATACGTGCATACATGCACATATACATGCATGTATACATACATACATGCATGTATACATACATGCATGCATGTATACATACATATACAGGCATAATTCATGCATAGACATGTATACATACACGACAGATAAAAATGGCATATGCATAACAACATTAGACTGAAACGTTTTCCGTGAATCGTCCCGTTCGCAGGGTGTCATTTTCGGCGCTCTGCCTCCGCCAGCCTGGCGCCACCACTTAAGCTCCACATTTGGATAATAGCATCTAGCTTGTTTAGCACTTCCCCGAAGTTGCGGTTCGCTTCAAGCCCGTGATTGCCAAGCTGGTGATTGTGCTAGCCGAGCCTGTGACTGGGTGTGGCTGGAACCCGCTGGACCGCGCTGCGTCGAGATTCCGCGCGCTGACGCGCCCCCGCCGCGTCTGTGTTACAGTACCGGCCCACCCAGTGGCGGATGCGCCGCGGCGAGGCGCGCTACACCGCCGCGTCTATACACATGTAGTCGCCGGCAGCGCCTTACAGCGGCCGCCGGCCGAAGCTGCACCTCGGTCGACCGCCAGGCCAAGGGCGCTGGCGCGGGCCGCGGAGCAGAGCCGGCCGCGCCCCGTCAGCTGCCCGTGTTCATCGTGTGGCATTATCGCCGCGACGGCGCCGTTCGCTCGGCAGCGGCGTGTGCTCGCGCCGTGCCTGGAGCACACAAGGTATCGTCGCCGCAGTCATGGGACGTCCGAAGCCGCCGCCGCCGCCGCCGGAAGCGGGACCCGTGTGCTTGTGATATTATTTTTGACACGCAAACGTGCACGTGCCGGCGAGGCGCGCGGCGCGAGGCCACGGCATGTAGCCCGCCGTCGGGTCACGCCAGTCCGACGGGGGGCCAGTCGTGTTGGGCCAACGGCCGTGAGACTGCACTGGAGAGACTGCCGGCGGCTCGGAATGTGTGTGTGTGCGCGCGCGCGCGTGCCGGCGCGGGAGTGAGACGGGCCGTGTCTGGTTCTGTAATGTGGCGCGTCGGCCGCCGGGTGGCGCATCTCGGCCTGCACGCCTGCAGCGGGTCCGAGGCCACTGGGCTGTGTGCGCCCAGGCCCCGTTCACTTGCATAACCCAGATTTGGTAGACAGCGTCGGTGGATTTTGGTTAGCCGTAGGTGGCGTTGGTTTTAACGATAGGAAGACGAGTTGAGCAGTTTGAGCTTGCAGCTGACACTTTGGAACTGTTTTAACGGGCGCGGCCCTTGTGGTCCGTTTGCGAGAGTTTCGCGTCCATCCCAGGTTAAGCCGTCTTAGCTAAGTGGCACCGGCTCGGGCTGCCAGTGACGCCCGCGCCACGTGGCCCGGTTGCTGATCCGGACTCTGCCGCCAATATGCGGACCGCCAGCAGGGGAGCGGGCGCACCCCAACCAGGCATAATGTGCGCCGAATGGACGTGGCTGGGTACGTCCCATGTCTGATGTATGAACCCGGTATGTTATGGCTCGGCTGAGGAGCCTGCAGGACCCAACCGGCCGTCGTCGGACGTGGCGCCGCATCGCGAAATGTCGCACACTATCGCTCACACGCGCCGCCGATAGATGGCGGTCGAGTTAGTTGCGGGCGCATCCGTTCTAGGTCCAAACTGGTGCACGAAGTGTTGGTTCGTTCGATTTGCATAGATTTCCTCGTTGACTTGTGAAGATAGTCCTTTGTGTTTCGATGCATTGACCGGTTACAGTACTGGGCTAACTCGCCCGCTGCTTAGCTCGGGTGACCGGTACCCCACATTTTGCCGTCACTCAGTTCATGTGGCTTTTAGCGTCTTTCGTTTGGAAGGGACGGTATCTCTTTAAGCCATGCCAATGGTTTTTTCTCACAGCTGAACCGAACCTGTGGTGTGGTGCTGTTTGTCGCTTGAAGCACATACTTGTCAATAATCTGCTGCTATTTGACTTTGGTATCCTTAATGAGGCTTTGTATGTGTGGGGGTGCAAAATACACGGTAAATGTCACCACGAGATGTTGATTATGCCTATAATCGAGGCTAGTCTTGGCCATACGTTGCATGCAGGTTTACATCACGTGGGGTTATTGTGCGAGCCACATGTTTGCTAAGAGCAGTTCGTGACGAATCATGCGCAAGGCCCATCGCACAACGCTCCCCGCACGCAGCACTGCACATTACTGCTTTGCAGAGAGATTCAGAAAGCCATAATGCGGTCTTTTGGTGCTGGATGTGTGAAGCAACTTTCGCGTACGACCATTTTCTCCCGCTTTACGCGATGCGTCAGAACACAGCCATTTGTCAGACGGGTATTGGAAGCAAAGCTGCTGCGGTATCGTCGCGGTGCTGGTCGGAACGGAGTCCTGGCGGCCGCAGCGTGCAGTGAGTGGCCGCGTCGGCCGGCTGCAGGCAACGTGGCGGCCTCTCCCTTAACCTCTTGACCTCATGCGCGTTGTGCAGACGCGGCTCCGGGTTCGTTCGCCGACGCGCGAAACACCACCTACTCGAACTGCCGGGATACACCGCCACTGTCCACAGAGGTGGCGCTTTTCTCAGTTTCCAGCAGTGTGGAGCCGGGGGTTGTTCCGCGTTCCGCGCGAGACGCTTCCCCGCTGGACGCTGCGTGGCTACATCAGACCGCTTGTGGTGCTCCGATGGTAAATCGGCGCTTCTCGTCAACTTTTCCCAACGCGTCGCCAGACAACCAGCAGACAGAGCGAGCGTGGTGGACAGCGGGTGCGCCATTTGTGGTGCTTCACCGTAACGGATGATCTTGTTTGTTTTTCTGGTGAGTGTTGATGGCTGGATGGCATATTTGGGACAGCGTTTCTAATGGGTGCCACCATTTGGATACGACAGTGGTATCAGCATTCCTCGTAGAAAAGGCGGGAAATGGAGATATGGAAGCGTTGATATTTCGGCAAAATGCTTTTATCGAAACGAACAGCAGTAGTAAATGCCGTTGTTTATGTTACGTTAATGTTCATCACATGCATTCACTAATGTTCATCGTTTCGATCAAGGCATCAACGCATCCACTTCTCCATTCTCCTGGTTTTTCTCAGGGGAACAAGGCTATTACTACTGTCATCTATATGCATAATGCTCTTCGTACATGCACTTAATATGTCACCATCTCGTTCGTACGATGTCTTCCACACTTCTGAAGTCTTACTATGCAGGATATACGTACGTAACCAAACAGTTACTCGGGGCCCTTACAAGTGACTATCTTTGTGGTTGGACCCGGCGGATTTTGCCACGCTATGCGACGGCAGGCAACGCTTTCATTCATTGACGCGGCTTGGCGCGTACCAACATACTATTGTGTACTCGGCTTTTTCACAGATGACGACAACACCGCACCCACGTTGGCGGCTCATACGATATTTGCCAGGTTTTTATGCTGTGTGCCGCTTCTTATTTACCCTTGCGTGGTGCTTATCAAATTTATGAACAGGGGACCAGATTACCACATTGAGATGACCAAATAAAAATATGTCCACTGTTACAATTTTGGCTGTTCTCTCTTGCGTACAATAAGGGCAAACCGCAAGCACCCCACAAGTACACATCAATAGCCAGCTGATGGCCGCTGGGGGTGCCCATTCTGGTACTGGCCAATCCTGGAATTAGAACAAAGTGAGGCATTGGTGCTCTGTGTCTTGGTAGATGTGTATGCATGAAAGCTATATTGCTTCACTATATGGCTTCATGCTTGGCATAGCTGTCACATATGATACAGCACAGCAGCTTATATATGTCAGTGTACCTTGCCAGAATGTTTTTTTTCTGCATGCTTACATCAAAATGATAACCAATTCTGCTTTTGTTAGCTCTGATGCATTGTTTGACTTTCCAGGCTTTCAACTTTCCAGTATTACTAAGGTAAATGGTTGCTTGCACCAAATCACTCATATATTCATTGACATCTTAATATTCAACATTTGGATGCTTAACATCCTTCAACATGGTGCAGGCAGTTCTTTTGATAAGTCCTTACTTGAAGGAGTGTAAAATACATGGGTAACAAAATTCAATACTACAAGGCACAAGCTAATACAAAGACACATTGGTAGAATGTTTAAGCTTTGTTTTCTTGTAGATAATCTGTCTTAGGACAACCAAACCTTATGCAAGCAAAACATAGCCCCAGTCAGTCCAGTCTTATTTTGAACAGTAATGAATGGATTTTGAAGAAAAAAACTTTGAAAATAACTGGGACCCTGGTCATCAATGTTCTTGTTTCACTGAGAGCATCCACATTGTAAATGTGCATGCTCATAATTTGCTTATGCAGGTTTATACTACCTAATTCTAAAATTTTGTACATCCTCAGACAACCACAGGCTGCCCTGTTTCACTTCTTAACTCATTTTTGTGACAGGATACAATCAGCTGAGTGTTTCTGATCTTCACTTTCTTCATAAAATCCAAGTTTTAACTGCATCAAAGCTTCATGAGCAGCTGTGAGGTTCAAATGCTGTTTGTTGTAATTATAGGATATATAAAGCTATCTAAATATCTTTAAATTCTTTACAAATGTCCAGTGCATCTGCTGATGCTGTTATAGGGATATTATACCTTATTCAGTTGATTCAGTTTTTTCCAGAAAGTGGAGATGTGTGCCAGAGCTATCCAAATTCATGGCACACTTTAATCACAATGCAGTCATTAAGACTAGCAAAATATACTGTTCTCTAGCCTTGGATCCACTCTCAACATTCTCCCACAGCTTTTTCCAGGGTCATAAGCACACAAAATCCCAGGTACATGTGCCCACTTACCAACCTTGTGACACATAATAATCTAATGTGACTTAATAATATGATGTTGCCAGCTAAAAATTCCAAGCAGACATGTACACATGAGAAATATGGAACATGTCATGGCAATAACAAACAAGGTATTATGCATGCCCTGAGGGCTAAACTTGATGACCAAATACATTAGTTACACCTTTTCTGTTGTGAAAGCAAGCATGCCTGCACACCTCATTTGATTCTTTGGTAGACGGTCAACCATGGCATCTGGCTGTTGTTGACAGGTCCCTAGCTCTCGCCCCTCGTGATTATAAAGCCAGTCCGGTACTGGGCCACGCATAATGACTCGGGAATAGTTCAGCATAAGTAATTACACAATTTTGACAACACAAACCACACCTTCTGGAAACCCAGGAGGTAAGCAGTAGACCCTGCAAGCGCACCAACTCTCTCCGGTCTTTATCTTTTTTTACACGGTTTGATACAAGGCAAAAAATACCGCGTGATAATCGAATCATAACGGCATTGAGGTATGTGGCAGTTGCGCTGTATTTGTCATGACTGGTATTGTCTGGTAATAACTATACTTCTACAAAACTATCCAGCTCCCACCATGGAAGACCAGGTCCAGAGCACCCATTTGTCCAATGAATGTTTGTCTTATCCATGAAATCCGAACAATATAGATGATATGGGTACTTACAGTCTAAGTCAAATACAATACCGGCTAAATTAAAAGACCAACGGGCACTGGAGGAAGCAGTAGTCTCCCAAAAATATACTATTCTACCAGCGGGAAACTAGACGCTAGGCGGATTGCGCCACTTCCGGATTTCCCCAGGACGTTGGATGCTGAATTTCCCATTCCGTCAATCGAGCATTCTGTGCCGGGGGGAGCGCTGGGCGTGTCGGTCGGAGGCGTGTGGTGACAGGTCTAGTGGGTGCGACTCCATGGCGAGTGGTTAGCGCAGCCGTGTGCCATCAGCTTCAGGCGGTCCTGGCGATCGTGGCTATCCGCACTTCGTGCAGCATAATCGGAGCGTTCTAGCCTCCTGGCCGCCGATCCTTATCAGGTCTAGACGCGACGGACAGTTGCGTCATCTCCTGTCGATTACTGCAGAGGCGCTACGAGCCAGCCCAGAGATGCCGTGTGAGGTACCATTCGGAGACCTGTTGAGCACACCAGGGAATGTGGACGCGCTGTGGACAGTACGCCAATGGCAGGAGGCACCCTGTGAATGGGTGACAATGCCATGCACTGCGGGTGACAGCAGCGTTTGTGTCGCGGAAGCAGCGGTCCCCATCGACCCTCCGTGTTGCCAAACCGCAGTGCCGGCGTCTGCCGCCGTCGGCGACGGAAGCGGCCACGGATGTCAAACCGCCTGGGGCTGTAGTTCCGTCTCTCAGACAGCGCCGAGCGGCGACAGTGTTCAGCCGACACCCTCAGCGGTCATATTGAGCGCAGGCGGCCCTGGGGCGGCGCGCGCGCGCCGCCTCCTGCCACTCTGGTGGCGGCAGATGCTTGTGCGCCGCCAGCGCCACGTGTCCGGACCGCCGGACATCGACAGCTGGACCGTGCTGGAGCCGGACGACGGCGACGTGGCCTGGGCCAGCCCGCCGCTCGCCGCCGAGGACACGCGCGGGGGCGGCGCCGACCGCCTGCGGCCGCGGCCGGGCCGGCCGCCTCTGCTGCGGCAGGCGCTGACGGCGGTGCAGCGGCTCGGCCAGCTCACCGCACGTCGCCTGCCGTCGGTACCGGCGCGGCGGCCGCGGCCCCGGCAGCGGCCCACCGTGCAGTGCAGCAGCCTGTTGTCGCCCGAGCAGGGCCTGCCGCTGTTTGAGAGTGTCTCCTGCGACAACCTGCCGCAGACGTGGCGCCGATCGGCCGGCCGGCTCGCCCCGCCGTCGCCGCCTCCCTACCACAGCTGCATGACGGGGGTTACCGAGCCGCCGCCACCGCCCTACAGCTTGGTGGTCAGCGGCCGCGAGCCGCCCTGTGTCCCTCCAGAACCGCCCACTGGAACTGGCACGCACTGTATGCTCTGGGAGGATCCCGCCGCCCAGCCAGTAGTGCCTGCCACAGGCACTCTAGAAGAGCACCGGCTTTCGCGAGCGCCCATCGCCGACCAGCCAACACTGGCAGTGGGTACTCAGGAAGAGCAAAGGCTGTGGAGAGTGCCCACCGTCGACCATGCAACGCCGGCTACAGACACTCCAGAACATCACATGCTCTTAGGGGCACCCATCGCCA